CGCCTGGCCATTTTTTGGTTGCAGCCATCATTGTTGTTTGGCGGGCCCGAGCTGGGGATTCGAACCCGCCACCTTAGGTGTATGTGGCTGGCGCCCTAGCCGCTTGAGCCACAGGCACCAAGCCAGAATATTTCAATATACATATGACATGTAAAGATTCTTCTCAAGAGTACTTGGAATATTGTCCAGCAGAGACCATATGTTCATTCATAAAATAAGTCTCAAATTTAAGGCGACTGAAAGAGATAGAAAGAGATAGAAATATTCATTTAAAAAATTTCTACAGTAGGCCTTGGTGGTTGTTGTCGAAATGGGCAAATTCATGAAACCTAGGAAAGTGGCGCTGGTCCTGGCTGGAAGCTACTCCAGACACAAAGCTGTCATCAGGAAAAACATAGATGATGGCACCTCAGACCACCCCTACAGCCATGCTCTGGTGGCTGGAATTGACCGCTATCCCCCCAAAGGGACAGCTGCCATGGGCAAGAAGAAGATTGCCAAGTGATCAAAGATCAAGTCTTTTGTAAAAGTTTATAACTACAATCATCTCATGCCCACAAGGTCCTCTGTGGATATTCCCTTGGGCAAAACTGTCGTCAACAAGGGTGTCTTCAGAGACCTTGCTCTTAAACGCAAGGCCCGACAGGAGGCCAAGGTCAAATTTGAAGAGAGGTACAAGATGGGCAAGAATAAGTGGTTCTTCCAGAAACTGTGGTTTTAGGTGTTTCTGTTTCAGTCATTAAAAATATTAAAAAAAAATTTCTACAAAGAAAAGCCCAAGACCAGATGTTTTCACTAGTGAAGTCTACCAAATTCTTGAATTAAAACTGAACCATTACAAACTCTTCCCAAAAACTGAAGATGAGGGAGGAAGCATTCCCCAACTCATTGTATGAGACCAGCATGACTCTGAAATCAAAGCCAGAAAAAAAGATATCGCAAGAAAAAAAAAATACAAAGTAATGTCCTGTGAATGTAGACAACAAAATCCTTAATAAAATATTAGCAAATGGAATCCAGCAGCATGTTAAAAGGATTATATGCTTTGGCATTTATCCTAGGAGTGCAAAGATGGTTCAATGTATGAGAATCAATTCCATGTAAATGTACCATATTAATAAAGGACAAAAATCACATGATCATTGTAAAAATGCAGAAAAGCCATGATGAAATCACTCAACAGATGAAGACTAGAAGGGAATTTCCTCAACCTGATAAAAAGCACCTGTGAAAAACTTACAAGTAACATTGTACATAGTGATGAAAGACTGAATACTTCTCCTGCTAATCTCAGTAACAAGACAAAAATGATTACTTTCACTACTTCTATTTAACATTATACTGAAGGTTCTAGGCAAGGAAATTAGGCAATAAAAAGGAATAAAAGACATCCAGATTGGAAAAGGAAAATGTAAAACTATTTCTTTTCACAGGTGACATACTGTACATAGGAAATCCTTGAATTCACTAAAAAGCTATTAGTTGTAATAAACAAGTTTTGCAAGGTTGCAGGATTCAAGATCCATGCACAAAAATCAATAGTATACATTTGCAATGAACAATCAAAAAATGAAATTAAGGAGGCAAAGATGGCCAACTGGAGCCAGCTTTCCACAGAGGCTCCCATCTAGAAGGAGAGTTAAAGGACAGAAGTTTAGCAAGTAAGCTGATGGTTTGGAGCTGAGCCAAGAGAGAAGGTTGAAGAACACACATCAACCCTGCTGAGACAAGCTGCGACCCCAAGGAAACAAACAATAGGTACAAAATCCATCATCAAGCAGACGGGAGTCCCCTCCCCCATGAGAATGGCTCACAGTATACTCTCTACAAACAAGCGAGCAGAGTTCTGATATCCTCCTATTTTATCCCATGGGAGATATCCTCTAAAAACTGGAACTCCTTCCCCAGAGAGGACCCACTAGTGTGCCATGGCACTATCCCACCATGTATAAAACTCTATATATTCTCTACCTACAATTCTGAACTCCCAGAACTCCCCTCCACTCTCACTCTGAGGTCTGGAAGCCTGTACCCCTTGAGGTCCAGAGTCTTGGGCATTTTCTCGAAAGGTGTGGGCAAGGCATGGGCTGTTGCAGGTCTGTGCTGATTCTGTGGCACAGGGGTAAAAAGAGGACTGTGGACCAAGGGAGCCATGTGGGGGAGGGAGAAGTGGTGCCCTGCTGCACAGAGCAGCAGCGGCAGTGGTAGGAAAAATAGGGCTCACACCCAATGGCATATTTTGGAGAGACACTCCCTGCCTCTCTTTCACAACCAGAGAAAGCCAGGCCTCTACTCTGGTGGCAGCCACTGGTGGAACAGATCTGAGACAGAAACACAGGCCCAGTGAGTAAAGGATATGCCTGAGGCAGTGCCTGCCTAGGCGGGGCACAATGGGGACAGAG